AGTTCCGCAGTCGCAATTACATACATGCCTCCATGTGCCTACTTATGCATATGTACATACCAATGTACAAATAACCACAAAGGAAAGTGAATTTTTATTCTGTGAATTTCATTGAATTGGAAATGACCAGAAAAGCGCAATGCTGTGCACAAATAGTAACAACAAAAATGCTGCTACTACGCGAGTACAAACAACAGGCTGGCGTTTAACAGCCAATAATAGTAAATTTATTGATAATTTATTAGAAAGTTACGGACAAACCGACACGTTGAAATGAGGTGCAGCAGCAGCAGCAGCAGCAGCAGCAGCAGCAATAGCAGGCCGCTATGCATATGCCACGGCGATGACTGCTATTATTGCAACACGAGGACGCGCTTGTGCCAGCGCTGCAACTGAGCAAAGGCAAAAATATATGTATGTATATACATAAATATGTGAATAGTATATAAAAAGTTACATACATACATGCATATAAAAACATGCACTCAAATGCATTTCTTTGTATGCCAGCCAGTCGCCAGCAGTTGCACTATTGCTGGCTGACGCGCCTGCGTCGTTGCATATAAACGTGAAAGTGTGTGAGCGTTGAACATCGAAAGGTGCGGTGAAACTTTTCCGAAAATTTCGTTGGCTGCTGTTGTTATTATTCTGTTGCTGTGCAATGCTGCACACAAATGTGTGTGCCGCCGGGTACCGGGTGCCTCTCTTGCATGCACCGCCTGCGTATGCGCATCGTCACTACATTGCATTACAATCACGGCGAGAAGATGGTTATGGTACTCAAACATACAAAAAATGGCAGCAGAAAAATAAATACAAATTTAAATAAATAAATAAAAAGTGTAAATAAAATACAAATATTTGTTAATGCTAATCATGCGCTGTGGCGTCGATCGTTGTGGCGACTGGGTGCGTGCCGAAATGGCATCATGTACATACGTATATATGTACATATGTACTTATACGAAGGTATACATATGAAAATATGTACATATGTACTTCTATATACGCACATATGTATGTTAATTGAAACAGGCGTAGAGCGGAGAGGAGACAGGTAATTGATTTGATTTTGGAGTCTTGAGACTTCGCTCTGTGTGGAGCTAGAGAATTTTGTATCTTTTAGCCATAATACATGTGTAAATAAACGAGTAAACACATACAGCGTGGCGACGAATAACTGTTATCCTGTTTTTTTTTTTTTTTTTTTTTTTTGTGAGAAATAAAAGGGTCAATTTATAGATTTTGCGAAAAAAGTATTTTATTGTTAATTTTCCACAGATTTTACTTTAGTTGTATTAATTAGTTATTAAATTTTAATCCCTATTTACATTTGCCAGCAGTTTAAACTTTGTGAGAAAAATGCATTTGGCACGTAAGTCTTTTTCAGGTGTATTTTTTCTTAGGCTTTGTATACAAAAATACAAAAAAAGAAAAAAAAACTGTATAAGGTTGGTCGAATGAATGGCCGTCCTAGTCACCAGTTCCGAGTCTATTCGATACTTGAGTATGAGGCTTTATCTTTGACAAAAGGGGGAGTATAAGGGACTCAAAATGGAGAAAATTTGCCTATGGTTACAGAAGATATGGAAAAAATTAAGTGACGAAGACCTGTGTGCCAAATTAGCCTTTCTCTCAAAGTCTAAACTGCTGGCAAATGTAAATAGGGATTAAAATTTAATAACTAAAAACTAAAATTTAATAACTAAAATTTAATAACTAATCTACTAAACTAAGTAAAATCTGTGTGTTTTATTTTACCGATCGTATTGTATGTTACGACGTTACGTATGTATATTATCGATATTTTCATCAAGAAATATATCGATTTTTTTGCTATATGTTAGTCGATTTATTAGTCGCTAATAACGCCATGTTATACGATATTACCTTTGCTATTTATAATTTCTTGAAAATATTTCTGTGTTATCGATATTATCATATTTTTAAATTTCGATATACATAGACGAATTTTATTGTTATTTTTTATCGACATAACTATCGGTTTGGAGCGGTATATGAAGCGATATATTTTATCGTGAATAGCGCTATGTTTATCGATATTCTTTTTTCGCAATGCATTGTTATCTATCTTTCGAGCGATTTATTAATAAATACATATATATGTTTATAGTTAGTAGTGCTATGCTTACCGATACCCTATTTGGCGTAATTTTTAGCATCGATGTTTTGACGCTTGTTACATATAGCGCCTTGAATATGTGTAAGCATTACCGATATTTTATCGATACTATTACATTTTGTATCGGCAAAAACTGGTTAGGTCTACAGTGAATGTAATCTAAAAATATATTTTTCGTTTTACATTTTTCTACACACATTTGAAAACAAAAGCTGGAAATCCTATTTTTTGATTGCTTAAAAAATTTACATAAAATTTTGTTTAATAAAAAAAATTATTTATATATATTTTTGGTTATTTTAATATAAGACATACATTTTTGTGCACTTAAAAAATGAACATATATACATTTTTCACTTAAAATTGGCTATACATTTTTGATGCTTTGGAAACACATTTTAATTTACTTAAAAACGAGACATAATTTTTTGGTAACCTTAAAAATGGTATTGAATAGTTTAAAACTGAGCACAAAATTTTGGAAATATTAAAATTCGATAAATTTTTGCTCATTTAAGAGCTGGGCATTATTTTTTGGTATTTTCAAATTGGACATAAAATTTCGTTCACACAAAAGCTGGACAAACATTTTTGTTCATTTAAAAACTGGTATCAATTTTAGCCAATTTAAAACTGTAAATACATTTTGGTCCATTTCAAAACTGGATATAAATTTTTTTTTATTTGAAACTACATGAAAATAGTTGTTTATTTACTATAAACTCGACATAAGCATATGGTAGTTTTGAAATCGGACATACATTTTTATTAATTTAAGACGTGGAGTTAAATTGCTTCTCGTTTAAGAAGTGGCATACTTGTTTCATTTCAAGACTGAACATAGATTTTGAAAAGCTAAAATTTTTGGAAATTTAGAAATTGGACATGCATTTTTATTAATCTAAAAACTGTTCATAAATTGCATTTCATTTAAAAACTGGGCATATATTTTTGTGGTAGCTTTAAAATTAAACAACAAATTTTGTTCATTTAAAAAATGGAAGTAATTATATTTAATTTAAAAAGTAGGCAATTTTTTTTCGTTATTCTTTATAAATGTTTTTTAATTTAAAAACTGTACATAAATTGTTTTCTTTTAAAAATTGGACATAAATTTATGGTTGATTCAAAAGTGGACATACATTTTTGTTAATTTATATACTGGAGGTAAATGATTTCTCATTTAAAAATATTTTTTGTTCATTTAAATGTTGGTTGTACCTTTGTTGGTAGTTTTAAAGTTAGACATACATTTTTATTAACTTACAACACGATATATAGTATCGGTCATAGCTATAGCACGCCATTTCAATGTGATATTATGTGCCATTTATGTTTATTTATTTATTTTTAAGAATTTTCAATTAAAATATTCTCAGACAAACCCCATATAAACCCTAGTTTAGCAATTTGTAGAAAACTACAAAAAAGTGCAACAAATTTTCATCTAAATTGAAAAAGTTTTTTCTCGGAAGTGTTAGAATTTTTTTGAGTACACAGTTTTTTAGCCCCTACAATTTTAGTTTGATAATGTGTAAGTTTCACGTGGCTAAAAGTTACCGTTGATTTTTAAGAATTATTTTCGCCAAAGGTGTTGCGGATTTCTTCCATATACAAATGAACTGAGTTTATTCATTATATGGAAGCCAATGCGACAAAAAAAAAAATCTAAAAAATGAACGGTAATTCGTAATTGACAATGCTTAAAAATAAATAAATAAACATAAGTGGCACACAATATCACTTGGAAATGGCGTGCTATAGATATGAACGCTACTGTATATTGCTTTTCAATCAATAACTGGGAATACATTTTTTAGTTGATTCTAGATTGAATATCAATTTTTGTTCATTCGAAACTCGAAATTGGACATAATTGATGGCAATTTTAAAATTGGACATAAATTTGTATGAACCTAGAACCTCTACATAAATTGCTTTTCCTTCAAAACCTGGGCATACATTTTAGGCAGGTTCGAAATTAGAAATAAACTTTTGTTAATTTAAAAACTTTTTCTTTAATTGCACAGTTTAATTTTATTTTATTTGCTGCGACTTTTAAGACATTAAAAGAGCAGTATTTCCAGTTTTATGAAGTTTATCATAAATTTTCCGGTTAGTAGTCGCATAAAAAAAGTTGCTTTTAAAATTGTGTAACAAAATAACCGTGGTCAGGACTTATAATCCAGTGTCTAGGTGCCATCATAAAAGTGCCAGTGCAAATTGGCTCCTAAAAATATGTTTTGCCATTAAAAATTGTAATTTTTTAGCCCCTCATATGCCACACATGTCTTTGCTAGGTTTCAGCTAAATTGCTGAGAAAAAAAAAACACTTTTGTAACAGTTTGAACTTTCGTTTGGCCCTTGGTGACCCCCAGTGGTTATTCACTAGTCACAGCTACCAGCAGAGTGTGGAGAAAATTGATGAGAAATATGCTGAAGTAGTCAGTCATAATAAATCAAAAGGTATTTGTGGCATAGGTAAAAAGAAATTTATATACACAATAAAAAGTTCAATTAACATGAGTCAGCCAGCGGAGACGTTTGCAGCAGACTCATTTTGTTTATTTACATAAGTTTATTAAACTTATTTGCATTTCAATTTTGTTTTTTTGTTTTTTACTTTACTTTGCAAGAAGTCATACCTAGTTTTTTTTCAGCCATATTTTTACATACTATTCATTTAATAGATTTGCTTCAAGCTGAAGTTATTAAACTCGAAAACTCGAATATATATTTATTTATGCACTCATTTATTTATTACTAAATTTTTTTTATCTTTATTATTTAGTTTTTGTTTTCCTTTTTTTTTTGTGATTTGATTAATTTTTTTCTCTGTGCTTTATTTGCTTTTCAGGTTGGGAATTGCGTGGCCTTAACTGTTATAAATACTTCAACATTAAACATTCATGGGAAAAGAGCGCTGAGCTGTGTCGAAGGTGAGCGTAATTAAAATGCAATAATACTCGTAATAAAGCAGTTAGCGGAAAAATAACTGAAACAAATAAAAACAAATATATTAACAAAATTTTTCAAATTAACACATTTGCGCAGAAGTTTCTATTGCGCTTAGTTGCTGATTATTAAATTGTTTGCTAATTACGCTCGAATGTGTCTCAATTTGTTGCATAATTGACATGTCACCGCAGTATAATTATAGAAATTAAATGGGAAATAGCTGTCTGCAACTTATCCGGTTGCTTTGAAATATTTTTGGCAAAACTTGGCAATATTTAAGTGAGCTCGGTTTTAGAGTGTTTTTTTTTTTTCATAAATAGAAAAAATTGCCTTGCACTAAAATTAGTTATAGTTTCCGGCTGATTTTAGAATGTTTTATTCCTTGTCGTTTTTTCAACCTTCCAAAAATTTTAAATGAACTACTTGTTGTGGACTGGTGTGTTACTACATAGAGCGAACATTTTGCCTTTTGTTGTTGTTGTCGCGGTATTTCTTAGCTTTGTCTAAATCAGTATAAATAATGAAACTTGTAGTCAATGTCATTTAATGCTACGCCATAGAACGTTAGTATCCTGCAGCGTTCTTTCACACGCCGTACTTACTCTATATCGCTGCGGAACACAAAATAAAACCTAGAGCGCGCACTATCAAGTTTGATAGCTGTTGGCCATACGAACAATGCCTCATATAATAAAATAAGATAAATCTAAACTAATTAAAAAGACTATCTACGAGAGATTTGTTGATCTGTTGTTGATACTGAAATGGGTGGTTCATATGAAATTTGGAAGGAATAAGGAAGGGAATTCGAGACTGGCTCGATTATCACCTATAACCTTCTGGGTAAGCACCTGAAAATGATCAGCATAACGCTATAGCGTTGATACCGTTAAACCGTATATCTCGCGGGCGGGGCCGCGGGCAAAAGCGTGTATAAGTAAATATGTAAATATTCACATATCATCATTTACTTATCCACTTAAAGAGAGATAAATCTGGGGGATTTATTTACAAAAAAAAAAAAAAAAAAAGTCAACTAACAAACACGCTAATTGGTATGCGCGCCTGTACGTACAAGCAAATATTTACATACGTATGTACATATGTACATAATTTATTTACAAAGAGCTACATATGTATGCATATATATTTACAAGTGCGTGCGTAAATATGTATGCACAGACATTCCTATGTATCTACTTAAAAGTGTCTCTTTAAGCGGTAGTTGAACTCTATTTTACAGTTATACGTAATTGTATTTACACTACGATTACCTCGCAAGTCTTAAAGTACATAGCTACTTATATGAGTATGTAATCAAACCGCAGATCGATTTTCGTCTGCGAATTTCGCTGGACGATCACCAGTCTAAACCGTTCAAATATTAGCTACACGTCGTCAAACGCCATGCGTGCGGCATGCTAATTTGTGGCGAAGTTTTTTTTTTTTTTTTTTTTTAATTTGCGATATAACAGCAAGCACGCATGCGCAAGTGTATTTAAAGCATTTACACTGAATTTGGCTTAAAATCGGCAAAGTGAAATTAATGAAGTAGCAACTGTGATTTAATTCTCTGGCTGACAGTACTGCCATGCTTCATTGTACATACATAAATATGCAGGGTGCATGTAGGTATGTACATACATATGTATGTCCATGCGGGCGACATGCCGTCGTAATTGACCGTCCATTAAACATCTATTACGCTGGCCATATTTACCTGGTAACCGCTTTTGCACTTACTATACTAGTTGTTCAATGCAATTTGGTATTAGAAAGTTTGTCGCTTATTGTCAATGCGGCAAGGAAGTGTTCAACACTAATAACCACCAGCAGCTTTAAATGCGCTAATGTAAAATTTTAAGTGGTCACCAGCACATACGCTGTTCAATATGTGTCATTTTGTGTCATTTGGTCAACGAAAGCGTTTTGCCATGAGGAAACAATGAAAATCCATAAATACCTCAGTTATTTATTGCAAAAAACTTATAGTTCGTTAAATGGAACGGTTTCTGCCACCATATCATAAGTTTCCTTCTACTTAGTCTATAGCTACCGATTGAAGCTCTTGACTGTCACTTTTTATATGTAATTATTATTTACTTATTGATTTGTTATGGCTAAGTTCTTTACATATCTCAGCCTTCTAAATATACTTTGAAAAATTTACGATCTGAAAAACCAACAAAAATTGTTTTAATCGCAGTTACGGCAATGGGAATACATAGAAATTCATTTCTTTAGTATGTCGCTGATAATTTCACGGAAGCGTAGTGTGCATACGGCTGGTCCCGGTTTTAATGCTCCAAGATTGTTCTATGTATATCAACCTGGTTTTTTTATCAAAAAATACTTATTTGGGTCCCCCTATTGCATTTTTCGGTTTCTAGGGGAGCTATAAGAAATAGTTAATATTATAAAAATAGTTAAATAAATTATTTAGTATTATGATTGAAAGGCTCCTGAAGACAAGCAGAGTTTTCCGATGGAAAAATATTGATTTTGAAGAATTTTGTATAATTTTTACGAAAAACAATTGTTTTTTCCCACAAAAAAACAAAAAACGTATGGAAAACTGTGAACGTTTTGAGCGACGTCTAAATATTTTTTTATTTAAAATTTAGGAAAACAGGGGTATAATTTTTTTCCAGGGGTTAGAGCATTAAAACTTCGACTTCACTTTTCTTTGGACCACCCTGCTGTGCATACATCCAAAACATTATTTACTACAACTGTATCCGAAGGTATAAAGCTATTATCGCCAAATTGTTCATAGAGCAAGTTTGATGGGAGAAAAATGGAACGTGGATGGTTCAAAAGGTTGAAATAGCAAAATTTGCCTAAGGTCCCATCGACTTTTTTACGCTTACTTTATGCGTGGGCAATGTTAAGGATTTGGATGCATTTGTTAACGTTAGGAAAAATTAATTAATGAATGAATAGGAACTTAAGATTTATTGATTAAAATGTTACTTAATATTAATTTGCCCAATTTATTTCTTTATGATTTTATGATAAGAAATAAGTTCCAAATTTGATCTAGACAAGTCGTTGTAAAAATTTGAAAAATTGGTATTCCTAGTCTTAGAACCGGGATTTATTTTCTATAATAGGCGATTAAAATAGCACAATTTAAGAACTATACAATTTCGTATCAAACATTTTGTGTTTTTCGACCCGCCCTACTGTCCAATCTGTTTACATATGACACATACGCCAGTTAAAAAATGTTCTAGGAGGAGACAGGCATAGACTCTACTGATACAGATATCCTCTAAAAGCTTAGACAGACGGCAGCGTTAAACCCGATCAACTCGTTCGGGAGTTGTAGGACGGCGATTCGGCACATCTTTTCCTTTAGGCAAAGACGCAACAATATTCCAGGCGGAAGTAGCTCCCATACGTTGTATTAAATAGACAAATATATCTATATATTCGGTCTGTCAATCTGTTCTCAAAGCTCTTGATAGCTACCTATACTCATCGAAAACTGTTTTGAAGTGCCATAAAGCACTCAATGGCCTAGCCAATCAGAATAGAGTTCACCTCAACTGGGTGCCTAGTCATGAGGGCTACAATGGTAAGGAAAAAGTGGACCAACGAGCTAAAAAAAAAGGCAGACACCCATTCGTTGCACCCAGCCCATTCCTTAGATTAAAAAATAATGGCATTAAAAAAGATCTTAGCAAGTGGGCAAAATCTTGCACTGCTAGCCATTGGATTAGTCTAGAGCAGTGATGTCCAACAGAACTTGGACAAATGGCTACTTTGAAACTATCGCTATAATACGCGGGCACCCCTGTAGCTTAACTTCAATCTTAACTGCGTTAACTCGTTTCACTCTTCTTATATTCAATGTATATATTCTACTAACTGATCCTTTTAAAATATTTATTTATTATTAAAGTTTATACAGTTAAGTTTTATTGCAAACATATGGGAATGTGCTGCAATTCGTACGATTTGAGATCGATGCGATCTGCAAAACCTTCTTCGGAGATTGATTAACAAAACGGCAAAATTTGGCACTGAATCGATAGATATGACGTAAGTTATGTATTTCTCGCCGTTTTCATTTGAAATATTTATTACTTTCCCTAAAAATAATCAAAAATAGTTTGCCAATCGCACCGATTTCAAATCGTACGACCCGCAGCACATGCCCAATAAACTTAATATGATGCTTGAATCTTCATAGGTATTTTCAGATAACTTCCTTAAAATCTGGTTTATATTGCATAGTTGTGCAGGATAAAATCATGGTATTTTTGACATGTTCGTCAGTCAGTACGTTTCGGTATTTGTTTTTTATAAACATTAGTTATGAAAAAGCCTGTTCCAGAAGAGTAAACGTCTGGAAATGTTGAGAGTTTTTCTTTGTCAACTGCTCTATCCATACATCGATTTCGAGATTGCAAAGTTGTATTGAAATCATTTAGTTTTGCAGTCACATCAGTTAAAAATGCTGCCTTTGGAATTCAGGAAAATCTTTATTTCTGTCATCAAAGCTACAAAGCACTTTACCTTGACTCAGCCATCTTACTGCAGAGTGGTGGAATATGTGACCGAATTCACTCCCAAATTCATCGAGCAAGACTTTGAATAACGGTCATCCGCAAAACAAATTCGAAATACGAATGATCGTGCTCCAAAGTCCCCCAAAGTTTCCAAAGTCAGATTGACTAAAAGTGTCTTCTTAGCAGAAAAATCAGAAAGTATCACTCTGGTGAACACTAATAAGTGCGGAGAGTCTGAAACATCAGTCGACTCATCCATTTGTAATGAAAACCTAGTCACATTTCTTGAAATCGCTTTTTATTTGGCCATGAATATCGTTTGGTAGGTCATCAGATGACGACACTTTTTTTTTATTGCTGAGATTACGTTGTTTTTGTTTTGAAAATCCTGAAACAGAGATTGTGTCATGTCCAGCATAGAAAGATAAGAAGCGAATGAGTTCATGAAAATTCAAAAATAAAAG